GTTTGAATCATTTTGGCTTTTGTTTTTTTCCAGAGTGGACTTTTGAGAATGCTAAAGGCCTGACACCAGCCTACTTATAGGTCACTACTTGTTTTTTGCAAACATGATTTTGAAAAGTTCATGAAGACTAACACTGGACTGCACGGGGAGACCCAGGAACCGCAGAGCTAATTCTCAGTCATATAATCCTGCACTAAATTCCTTCTATACCTTCCATAATTTGGGGTCATTGAGGACACCAGTCTGTCTCTATTGTATGAAAACAGTGAGGAGGTTAGTGTGGCCCCTGATCGCTGCCCATTTGAGCATGTGTGCTGGCCATCGTCCTAACTGGACATATCCTTACAAGGTATCTTCCAGGAAAACTGTGGTTATGCTTTCATGAAGCCCTTGGAATGATCTTAAATAACCAGAAAGATCCTTTGAGCACTAATTTTTCTTACTTCTACAACCTTTTTTCCAATCTCTTTGTGTTCACTGGCTGGTGGTTAGTATAGGCTTAGCCTGTGAATACCCCTGAAGCTCTGTGCATGTAGTGGGAGGTTTCTTCACCATTTGCTAAGGGCAAAGCCTGCATGCAAGCCTGCTGCCCTTTGGCAAAGTGAGAGAGGTACCCCATGGTACCAAGGAAACTGTGTGTATCCTCAGGAAAACTTTGCTTTAGCTCTCACCTGCTATTCTCCCTTTCCTATTCCATCCCTCACTGATTGAAAGTGTACTGATTATAAGCATATTGCTGTCTTTTGCATGTGGAAAAACATGTCAAAACAATAGCAAGCTGTCTGCAAAGGGTGGTAATAACAAAGCCTCTCTGCCTCAGAGGATGGTGGAGTTCGTTAATTTATTTGCAAGATGTTCTGACTGCAGTAATGATCCTGTAATTACCTTCTACTTCTGCATCACCAACGCCTTCCCTCTTGGTAGAAAACAAAATATAAGGGAAATGGCACTCAGTTTAAAGAAAACATGCAAGGGAGCCTTCTGTTAACAGGTGATCTGACGCAGACAGAGCTGACTCTTTTTTCTGATGCTTTTGATGCCCAGATGAATGCTCACTTCCTAGTCCAAATGATGAATTTGATTAACTGTGGCTCTGTGGCTCCAGAGGCATAGGACTTACAGAGATGGCACAAAGTGACCACTGCCAGCTTACTTCACATACCCACATTACATGATGTGTGAGGAACAGGGTTGCCAACACTTTCTTGATGGATGACCACTGGCCACTATTACAACACAGGCTAGACCTAAGATCACATCCGGGCCTGTGGTCAGATATGTCCTCCTCCTTCCAATGTTGCAACACTGCTGGCACCAACAACTAGAGTTAATCTTTAGAAAGAGTGGGGAGGGGAATAATTGGTAAGCAAATCTTTATTGCAGTGTGAAGCAATTAAATGCAAATGCATTTTGAATATACATCCAACTGGAGCTAACACATGTTGTCGCATCAGATATAAAAAGTCATCTCCTGTCAAGAAAGAAGGGCTGTAATATACAGTGATATATGGCTATATATGGTGATAATGTACATCAGCATGAAGCCTCCACTTGCAGAGGAAAGGGCAGGGGGTGTACAGCCCCCACCTCATTTGGAATAAGCATGAGATGAGCAAGCACAGACTTTGTGTGGTCTCCTATTGCCACCAACATGGAGTGAATGCCTGACAGCATGGCCCCTGCCCATGAGTAGATATTGCAAATACACAAGAAAAGAGGCAACAAGGAATTGTCAAGTGTCGTAATTAGTGCAGAGGAAACACAATTTAATGGTGCACCTGAGTTTCCTAGGATAGTAACAGCTAAGGTCAGGCTGGACTAGGCTCTGAGCACCCTGATGTAGCTGTAGGTGTCCCCATTCATTGCAGGACAGTTGGCCCATGTGACCTTTAAAGATCCCTTCCAAATCAAACGATTCTATGTTCTATGACTCTATGTGGCAGTCAGTATCTAATCGAACTGCATCAATATCCCCTCTTTATTTGATTCATGTCCAACTAGACAACTAATCAATCATGTTGTTTAAGAGACACACAAGGCAGAAGGTATTATGTTATGGTGACTAATAAGGCATATTTCTACCTTAGCTGAGATGCTGAGGGAAAATTCTTTAGAGGTTTGTTAATGAAAACCCACCTAATAAACCTGCTCTGTGTGAATTCACATTCCTGTGAAGTCTAAATCAACAATTTTTCATGTCAGAAGAAAAAAAACTATTTCATGCAGAACAGTGCAAGAAATGTTATGTGCAGATTTTCCAGGGAAAGCACTGCAGAGAAATGAGCTGAACAGAAGGAGCTAACAGAGCTGATCTTTACAGCATCTGAAGTAGATAGATAGCCTGCAATCTAAAACCAAATTCATTTTCAAAAATGTTCTGGAAAAAAGGCAAAGAAATCCATCACAGAACGACCACAGTCTCTAGTGACTAGTCCAGAGAAGCACAGGGCTCACAAAGTTTTCCCCAGCAACTGCATTATATTACTGTACATGCTGCTGCAAGACAGAGTTGCCAGATGACCATTTTCCACCTTAGCTTGAAAGACCATCCCAAAAGAATATTCTCCAGAAAAATGTATGAACCACAACAGAGGAATAGTCAGATCATCAGCCCTGGTAGTCTAGCATCTGCCTAAGATGCTGCATTGTGGGAGGAGAGCACTAATCGTTCTCCTAGTGGGCCTCACCTCCATGGAGAAAAGCAAGCATAGGGCTGCAGCCAAGAAGCATGCTCCTCAGGAGGGAGAGGCTACTGCAAGGACAAATATGTTGCCCAAATCCAGAAAAATGATTCAAGCTCAGAGGTTAAAATGGTTATCTGGCTTAATGATCTTGCTTGGCAACAGCCTCAGTGATTTCATTCCCAAACTTCCATGTAAAAGAAGGATGAATTTTTGTGTGATTTTTAAAAAGTATTCGTTCTCCCTTCAGAGAAAGTGCACAAATCTGCAACCTCATGGCTGCTCTGCAAATGTGTGCTGGGCAGTGGAAACCAAAGTGAGTTAGAGAGCCAGATCAATAAAATGTTATTGGATTTACCCTACCCAGAGAGGAAGAGATGGAGCCAGTTTCCCATTGCTTATGCAATGTTCCCCATTCCCCTGTCTCACAGGTCATATACCTACTTTCCAAATATATTATTGCCTCATAATAAAACTTAGGAAAATACATTGAAACATCAAGATACCAGTAACAACTTATAAAGCTCTTTTACTTTCTACTTACTTTACTTAGTCAAGATTTCTATTTCCAATAATCTTTCATTAATCTTCCAAAATGTGCGTAAACTTTTGCAAACCTCATTAGGCTGACATTTTGACTTCGGGTGGACGGTGTTAAAGTGTTAATTCTTGCTTGTATTTAAAAACTCAAACCAGGCTACGTAACTAAAACATTTGATGTCTGTAAAGCTCTCTCTCTGCTTTCTTATGAGCAGATAGTTCCCCTTAACCTGAGAGCCTATGAGAGAGGCTGAGCTGAGCGGAGCAAGTTGCCTCCCCCTGTTCCAACATGAATGTGCCTTGGTGGAAACCAGGTCATGGAGAGCAAAATGAGAATTACCAGTGTGCAGGCTGGGCTGGGTTGCTTTTCTGTATCTCACCACCAAACACAATTTTCTCACAGACGAACTTCTAGGAGTTAATTCACAGACGCTCGTAGAAGCCATATCAAAGTTTCCAGTGCATTAGTCTGATAAAAATGTGCCTTTAAGCAACTTTACCAAAGTCATATGAGAAGGCTGAAGTAAACCTAGAAATGGGAGTCCGGTCTTCAGAAGACAAGCATAAGAACAGCAGTATGGTCATTTGTCAGCACCACATACTCGTTTTGACACTCAGAGCAAAGGCACATAGTGGAGTGTAAAGCCAGAAGCAGTGGCTTTGGGTATTGCCTATCTGCTAGGATACTGTATCTGTTGCATGCAAAATTCTCAGTGCACATTCACAACTCAGACTGTTTATCACATGAGTGTCCAGGCTTTTGGCTTGCCTGAGCCACTGAGTGAAGAGGAATTATCTTGGGCTGCAAATAAAATATGAAAGTTGTTCTGAAAATAATGCCTCCTGTTTATTTTCAGGAAAACTACAACAAATACAAAGAGCATGATAACGCTACATGATAGAGAAAATTCTCAGCCATAAAACTATATTTTTCAACATAATCACTTCCATTAGCTACGCATTTTCACCAGCAATGAACAAGAACCTGTATACTGTGCAGAGGTGACCCACTGTTGTCACTGTTGAAATGCACCATTGCCTCATTGTGTTCACATCCACTGTCTGGTCTCCATCAACATTCAGCAAGCATTGATGAATGTCAGTAGGTGCCACTGTTTCTGCATGGAGGAATTCAGTGACGCACCTTTCCTTTATACACATTTCCATGTCAGAAGCCATTCTGTCAGACTGTCCCTCTGCTGACGTCCATCACATAGCAACAGAATGTTGTGGAATACTGACAGGAAGGTTCAACCTTTATTGCCATACCATCAACATCTACCTCTGATGCTGTCGGCCAACATAATAAGTAGGAGACATTATTTTTGGAGCAGCGTTCATATGTAATATAGTTAATGTATATAAGCAATATATAAAAAAAACTTATTTTATTTTTATATTTTGTATTAAAACATAAAAAGGAGAAAGCAACACAAAACTAGTGGTATATTTACCTTGTTTTTGTGAAACTAACACATCAGTCTGGTTCAATGGCTGCAATTCTTAGTGAGCTTTCAAGGTGTTCATCGGAGATTTTTCATGAAATATTAGTCCTCTTGTGTTTCATCCTTGAAAACAGGTGTACGTACTGCCAAAAGCAATGACATGAATAAGGTATGACTGTGAAGTGAGGGATGTCTTTCTCTGGTAAGAAAGGGCTTATAGAGGTCTGGTAAAGTGACATGATCGAATGTTTGAGTTGAATATCTGATTGCAAACTTCTGTGTTCCATCTGAAAATTTGCAGATAATGTATTTATGTTGACGAAAATAGAATTGCAAGTATACTTTTCAGATTCCTGTATCAAAACAAAAAGCATGGCTTTTTTCACTGTTCACAAGACTCTGTTCAGATAACGTATCAACATGCATACAATCATTTGCCATAACATGAGTTCACACTGCACTGCACCCTTCTCAGCCCAGACAGCATTAATAGGACACTGATGTTTGGTTGGTGCTGAGCGATGGGTGGTGCAGAGCCGCTGCCATGATGGCGCGAGGCAGGGGAAGGCCGCAGGACAGGCTGGGCCGGGCTGCATGTGGCCTGCAGGCTGCAGGTTGGACATGCCTGGTTATCATCTGCTTCCCACTGTGTATTACCAGCTCGGTACCTGGCCATTGTAACAATGGCAAGTGGAGTGGGGTGTACGTGGGCTTGTATCCTTGGGTGCACGGGCTCTGATTAGCTCCGTCCAGCCACTGCTCCATCCCAGGCTTCATCACTGGATCCATGCAGGTCAGGACTGCCTCAAAAGTCCCTGCTTTGACCCAGCTGTACGGCTGACTGCCGCCAACAGAAGTCTGATAACACATGCCTGGGGAGAGAATGTAGGTGGGAAGTGGCAGTCAAATATTTTATTTCCATATAGTTTTGCTATGCAAATACATGTGGAGAGGGGGGAAGGTGAAGTCCTCAGACTTGCACAAAAGCAGGTCGACCTGTTTGGTTAATCCACCCTTGCAGAAGCTTGGTACCCTGTGCCGGGGAAGGCTATAAGCACAACAACTTCTGGGCTGATAGGTACACAATTGATTTGCCCCAGTGTGATTATGTGCTGTCTGTTCTTTCACACCTGAACAATGAGCTACTTATTTCCTATGGCACCATGTGAAATGACAGTGTTTTAATTGAAGTCTAAGAGCTCCTATAGATCCCAAGGTTCCAATGACAATAAAATCAAGCAATGAATCAGATACGAAGGGAAAAAAAATCAAATACTAAAGCTTCAGCCTCTTCCAATCTAATGCAATTTCTCAGCTCTTATCTGAGTTAACACTCTCTAACTCCTGTGAGGAATGCAAAGCCTGATAGCACTTTTGCTGCAGTCTCCAAATTCATGTGGCTATCGTAAATCAAAAGTGCTGGTAGATAAGAAAACGAAATGAAAAAAAAAAATGAACAGTAAGAACTGTTCATTTACACAGCACCAGTACAGATGATGTGTGTAGGCTGCTCTGAAAGTAATGCCTCCTATTTATTTTCACAAAAACTACAACAAAGAGCGCAATAACACTGTATGATAGAGCAAATTCTCAGCGACAAGACTAGTTTTTAAACACAGTCGGTCTCACTAGCTATGCATTCTCACCTGTGATGAACGAGAGCCTGCATGCTGTACTTGTCAAAACCTGCACCAGCAGAGAGGACCCACTGTTGTCACTGCTGAAACGCACCACCCACTGCCTCACTGTGCTCATATCCACTCTTTGGTCTCCATCAACATTCAGCAAGTGTAGATGAAAGTCAGTGGCTGCCATTTTTTCCGCATGGAGGAATTCAATGACACACTTTTGCTTCGTCCACACTTCCATGTCAGATGCCATTTTATCAGACTGTCCCTCTGCCACCATCTGTCACATGGCTGCAATGTGTAACAAAACACAGCCTCAACTGCTGTATCTCCAACAGCCACCTCTGACACTGTGGGCCAGGATAATGAAATGGGATGCGTTGCTTTTGGAGCAGCCCTCACACAGGGTTATAGCTGAGCTGGAGTTACACACATTCTTTGGATGTGACTCCCGCACTTTCAATAGTTAATTAATTAATGCTTTCAATTGTGCACATTCAGGAAGCAACCCGAGAAGATTCAGCATTTTCTTTCTGAATACGCTCAACCGCAATGACGGAAACTTCAACACCTCTGTACAGGGGACGTGGTTCTTATCTATACAAATTAGGCAAGTCATCGTTTCCGTTGCACATCCGTTGCGCTCCACCTGTTCTAATGGCCAGCGCATGAGGCACAGCCCCCTCTCCGTCACCGCAGAGCAGCAGGGCCGTATGACGGCGGCTCTCGTGCCCCGCAGCAGTAGCAGGAAGAAAATGGCCGACCGAGGCGCGGGCCTGGCGCCGGGCCGGCACCAGGGGGAGCTCGGGGAGCACGGCACGGCGGGCAGGCAGCTCCCCGCGGCGCTGGGGCTGCCGGGCTCGGAACGCTTCCGTCTGCGCCACGGGGGTGTTGACGCGCTCCGAAGCCGTCTGCTTTGTTCAGGAATCGGCGGGGGCGGAGATGGAGATGGAGCTAACGGGAAGCCCCGGGGACACCCCGCGTCTGCCGAGCCCGGAGCGGGGCGGTCAGACCGGTGAACGACGGAAGGGTGCTCCGGAGGCTGGCTGAATCATGTTTTCCGTCTCGGACTGCGGTCCGTCTGCTTTCTTTATCACAGAGCAAAACGCACCACGGGCCAGGGTGCCCTGTGGGCTCCCGGCTGGTTTCCCTCTGCCGCCGCCACTGCCCGAGGGAAGCCATGCTCTCCCTCCTCGGTGTGCCTCACGCAGCCCTCAGGGTGCCCACACCTCGGTGGCTGTTCTCTATTGCTCGGCTGCCTTCCTGCGGCAAGTCATGGAGAAAGGAAGCCTCTTCTCTGGGGGTTTTTGGGTCCTCCTCTGGGTGTCAGGTTGTGCCAACAGGGAGCGATGCCATGTCACAGGATCGCAGGGTGGCTGAGGTGGGCAGGGACCTGCTTGGGCAGGGATACCTAGTGCAGGGATACCTGGTGGCTCTTTACCATCCTGTCCATAGGCAGCTCCCACCTGTTTGGGTTGTGGGGGCAAGAAGTGGCCACACATTTAAGCTGAAAATAAAATGGCTGCTTCTACATGAGCTGTCAAGGCAAAATCAGCAGTCTGGCCATCGCTCTCAGTGATGTAACAGTGCTGTGAACGTCCTCCAGATAGAATCATAGGATCATAGAATGGTTTGGGTTGGAAGGGACCTCAAGGATCATCAAGCTCCAACCCCCCAGCTGCAGGCAGGGCTGCCAAACTCCATATCCTCACTGCCACATAGACTTTGTTTTATAATTCACAGCCACTGTCTTGTGGCTTTCCTGTTGGATAGGGCCTGTGCTCTGCAGTGTTCTCCCACACAGTGTTCAGGCAGTCTGCCTCATGTGCTGCCCATGGGCACTGTGGATGCAGGCATCCTGAGCTGGACTGTGGAACCCCATTCTGCACAGTACAGCCCACACTGTGCCATGGGACAGCAAACAGGCCCCAGCCTGTTCTGTCGACGGGGATAGCGGCTAGCAAGCCAACTGCTCTGTTTTCCTTAGTTATCTGCTCCTGACCTTTACTGGATGTACACATCCAGGTGGGCTTCATCTCACCAAAGGTGACAAAGAACTGTTGGAACCTAAATTGCAATCATTAGTCTCCCTACTTAGTAAAGAGACAGAAACAGGAACTTCTAATGGGCGTCCTGAAATAGATTGAAGTGAGTCACCAGCAGAAGATGTCTGTTACTATCCACTAATTAAAGACAGAGTCCAGAGGACTAACTCAGACATCTATCTTCACCCAGCTGCACATGGGTGATGTGAATCGTGCTTCGTGTGTTTTTGCCTCAGAATTACCTCACTGAGTCCGAGGACAAAAGACAGTGTGATGTGCACATAGGCAGTCACACCGCTGCAGTACCAGTGCAAATGTACAAATGCAGACTTTGCTATGCATTTTTGAACTGATGGTTCCTAACTTCTGAATTATTATTATTTTTTTTTTTTTCCCAGAATTAATGTTCTTAACATTTCTGTTCCAAAGGAATACAAATCATACTACACAATCTACAATGTGCTCGATTCTGGATTCACATCACAAATGACTTTTGGGTAAGTTTTTGACTGACGTATTTGTTCCCTGACTTATACCGCATGGCTGAAGGAGAATATACACATCGCTCCAGTTCTTTACATCCCTCTGAGGTAGCCCTCCCTGCTGCTTAAGCAGAAATGGGTCAGTAGCAGGGACTCCCTCCAGCACCTGCAAGAATGAACGTCAGCAGCAACATAATTTTATACCCACTGATGGCAGCATTGTTGACAGCATAGAATAAATCAGATGCTCTGCGGTGACTGTGCCTATGTCCTGTTCCTTTCCACTGCTTGTTGTCTTCCACTGTCACAGCAAGGATGAGGAACCAGGGTCAAAAGAATGTGTATTGCCTTCTGCACAGTTCATAAGATAGCTCTGTGACAACTCTTTGAAATACCAATAAGAACTCATTTTCCTCCTGCCTCCGTGTGCTCACGAATGCGTGAGTAAATACAAACTGACATGAGATTTGTATGTGTGCAGCATTGCGAGGCACCGTTCTCCTTCACACTGCCAAGCTGTTGCTGTGACCACATGTCTCATGAGGAGAGGAACAGCTCAGGAGCAGCACAAGTCTCTCTGAAACACAGGGCACAAACCCATGGCATGCTCCAAACCACTGCACAGTCTGTCTATCCTGCTCTCTCTCCCTCTGAGAGTTAGTCTTTGCCTGTCGAATTCTTCTGATTTTTCCTCTTTGAGGCACATTAGTTACTATGGAAACTGATCTGTGGGTACAGAACTCAGTGACATCCACATGGAGGGATGCTTCCTGGGAACCTAAATATGAGCTGGATGGTTAGATGTGAGCTCTGCATATGGCTTAGATTTGGTAAAAGATCACAGGAAGCCGCTGAGGGAGAAGAGGTAGCAGCTGAGGTTATGTTGAATGAAACTCCAATCCAGCCACTGGCATGTCCTTCCTTCCTGTGGCTTCCAGGCCCCAGGATTCAGAACAAGCAGAGATGAGCTGTGCCCAGCACAGCCCCTGCTCACAGTGCCCTGCGTGGGCACTACAGCCTGTGCCAAAAGCTTCAGTGCTGCTGACCAGAGAAATGGTAGCAAAAGTTATAACTAATTAAACCAAAAACACTATTTGCAGCACCCCAAAACTGTACTGGCAGTGAGCTAGCTGGTTTCACAGAAGGACTTCTCTCATAAGACATCGCAAAACTCCACAGGGATGCAATTGGCCAACCTATACCTTTGTCACTGCAGGCACCAGCCCCACCTGGCCACCTGGGATTGCCCCTCAGCCTCACTGCTCATTAAATGTTGTTTTTCTTTCTCCTTAAGTAAACTCCACGTGTTGCCTGCTCCCCGAGGCAGGCAGGCAGGCAGGCAGTGGGGGGTGACACCACATGCAGTGGGGCAGAAAGCAGGGGCGGAGGGACTGAGTGCAGCACAGTCCCAGGCATCATCTCAGCCTGGATTTGTAGGCTCCAAGCCCACATTCTTGAATAAAGTGGGAATCACTTACTGGAACAGAGTGACATGTTTTGGAGCAGCAATTCTTCACACAGGTTTTTTCCTACCGAGTTTGCACCAGGCAGGGCAAATGCTGCCAGATGGGTTTCCTGTTGAAGAGGGCTGAAATCCTCCAATTAGGGATGTTTGAATTGGTTCCATTTGTGTTGGCTTTTTATCTTTAATGCCAAAGACTTGTGGCATTTCAGTTCAGCTACACACGGGCCAGCTGACTGCCCCAGGGCACCATAATGCTATTCCTTTACCTGGAAGCTGGGCGTGGGCTAAGGTGCAGAGTGCATCTCAGTCCTTTGGCAGCTCACCCCACAGCCCCGAGTGGGGCCAGGTAAGGCTGCCCTGCCTCACCTAGAGCAGCCCTGACAAAAGCAGGCTAGGAAAGAGTTAGACTAAGGGCTGAGAATGGAATCTGATCCAACTGCAGGCTCCTCTTGAAAGTTCTTTTCTTTAAAAAAAGTTAAATCCTTTTTGGAGATTGATCCCATTACACCAGTAGCAGATCCTATTATAGGCAACAGGATAAAGAGGAAGAGATTGCATTTTTAAAGACAGTAAGTGGGACTCTTTTCAAAGACAACCAAGTAATTTAACACCTTGCAGTGTGCTGCCACATTTTCATTTAGCAACTACGTGAAAAGTCATCATGTCCCATTTTTAGATGGCCACCTCCTTGTTTGCGCTGATCTTTATGGCAAGCATGCAGATACCCATCTATATTTAAAGCGGACACATGGCAGAACCCTGGAAATCTCAGGGAGGCAGAGATCTAGGACTGAGTATGGATGGTCACACAAAGTCTTAAACTTCAAGGATCTGCTCCCTGTGATCAGGTTTTTCTCCCGTCATCTCCTTCCCTGTGTTCGCTGGGGTTGAGTGGCTGCCCAGCAGGGGGGGTATCTCCAGTGCGTTCCCTACTCATTTTTTCCCGGTTTGTCACTTGCGGGGACTTTACAGAGTGCCTTTTTAGATCCACCTGTTGTTTATTCATTGAGCCCCACAGAACTTGTAAACCTGTTTTACTTGCAGAGGGAAAGCAGGCAGCCTCTTTACAGTCAGACTGAGCTGTCTGCTCTCCGACAAGGAAAAGTGCCAGCTTGAAGGAGCAATTTACCTGACAGACATCTGAAGAGGAGCACAGTGAATCCCCTAAATTAAACCTTCAATGCAGCTTCAGGGCAGAAGTTCTATTGTGTTCCCAGTATTTTTTCTGTTTCCATTCCAAGTCTGTGCAAAGGAGGATGGCTCTGATTTGTTTCTACTTGAAATAAATGGGCTTACCCATCCCTAACCAAAGTCAGCATTTGAGATGTGACAGGAGAAGCTGTCCCAAAATCAATGAACCAATGACCCAAATGTAAACTTGTGACTGTCAAAAGCTTAGACTCAAGAATATGTGTATTCGAAGTGAACATTACATGAATATTGGTGGCTACCAATACAGATACTATAGAAATAGTCTGGAAAATTGTACTGATGGCTTTGTAGGAATCTTATGTACTACATACAATAATAAGTAAATGAATAAGTAACAAATGAGGCAATAGCAAAAACAACACTAGGTGGGAAATCATCGGGCTGCAGTCCATGTTGACTTGACATTCCAGAAAGAATGGCTGCATGTTATAATGAGCATGTTGTACTGAGTAATAACTGAGTGGAGAAATGGGAAGGAAACTGAGCAGCAACATCTCCCCATCTTTCCCAATAAGGAGATATCCCAAAATATAGCAACACTTTTGAGATGGTAAAAAATAGCTTCAAAGCAATCAGTAGGAGAAGTGGCACCCAGAAGCTGCAGAGTTACCAAGTGGAGAAATTGTTGCTGAATGACAGCTAATATTGTCTGCCTGTACACAGGGGATGCTGCAAGAGGAGACGGAAAGAAGTCCAGAACCAGGGCTTGTAATAAGGTCTGAAATGAAAGTCAAGACGGGAAAAACATTAACAGAGAGGTAACTCTGTGCTGTGTCCACCTACAATAACTAGCAAGACCTTTTCCTTCTTCGCACTCATTTTTATGTTCTCATGTGAGATCTAGACTTGGAGACAAGGGATCGTGTTTGCACTTAGGCATAAGATACCAGCATATAAGTGGCTGCAAAGCCTGGGTGGGGGGAGGCCTCTGGGAGCAGGAAGAGCTATTTCAGCCAGGAGAGAGACTGCAAATGAAACAGTGAGGCAGCAGTGAGGTGGCAGGGATGGCATGAGTGAGGCTGTGGCCTGCAGAAGAGATAGGCTGAGCCATGGTACCCTCCCTGGCTACAGTTTCCCCATCCTCCTCATCACTTAGAGCACCATACAGGATGGCAAATAAATACAAAAAAAATGGTCAAAGAAGTGCTACAACTTGATTCTTCCTTTTATGCAGCCAGACAAACCTTTCCGGGATGAAGAGCAGGGCAGCAGGATGAGGTCATATGCCCACCCTACTGAGACCATGAACAGCCCCATGGAGCCCCTCTGTGGGGGGCTGACTGCAGCAGCAGCTTTCTTCTCCTAGAAGAGTGCTTTCAGTAATGAGCCAGATCATCACCAGTGCATTTAGAGGGCTATTGTCAGTTTACAGATTGCTTTTTTGCTTCCCTTCCCTTCTTTTCTTCAGCTAGGTAATTGAGAGTGAGGCCAGAGTTTATTGGCTTCCCCTTGCAATGTCCTAAATACTAAATCAAAACCTGTTTCTCTGTGTGTGTTTCCCAACAAACAGGAGATGTTTCTCCTGAGCACTGGATTCCTACAATTGGTCACTCTGGGATTTCATCCATAAGAGAGATCACACTGTGAAAGATGTGGCAAAGAGAGAAGAGATGAATGGCTTGCACTGGGAGTGTGAGAAGACACAATGTGGAGGATGCTGCAGAATAAGCACCAGCCTTTCCAGCTCCTGCATGGTAGCACAGGTGTGTGAGCCAGCTGTTGCCCCTGCAGGTGACATCAAGCAAAAGCTGCTCTGAAAAGCTGATGTCACCGTCTGCTTCCTGTGTTCCCTAGTCCATCAGGACAGTGATGTTTGTTGTCACAGCCTGTTCTGCCAGTGTACATGGATTTGTTTTCTTTTCTTTCAGGCAGAATATTACTGGGGCCCCGCTGGGAGCCACAAACATCCTTGTCCATTCACAGGGATCAAAACCCACCTCGATGACATATTTTCAGAGGGAAAACAATCAGCCTCAGAAGGAGAGGTGGAAGGCCAACAGACTGAGTCCAATCTTTGCCAAAATTGGTGAACAAAGATGCTTGTATATGGCCCTGTGACGAGCATGGCAGCTCCTGTCATCTCCCTCTAGCTCTGTGTGGCAACACAAGGGTTACACTGCCTATCCCTTACCACCAACAACTAGCGTCAATTGCATGCAAACCTATGGAGGGAGCAACATGGAGGGGAAGTTAGGGAGTGGAAGAGCAAGATGAGCAATGCCAAGGAGAGAGGTGACGCCACCAAGGCCACTTGGGCTTCTGGGTGCTCTCACCAGTTCCTACTGCCAACCTGGAAGCACCGGGGAGGATCCAGGAAGACACAGAACAGGGTGTGGAAGTGACCTTATCACATTTTCTTCTTTTCTGCTTTACATTCGCTGCCTGGCAGCTTTAAGCTACATTCCAGGGGCTGGGTAAGGTGAGGACAAAGCTGCAGTGCCAGCTCCCTCCTGCCTCCCTGTGGGGCAATTCCCTCCCAGTTGTTTTGTACCCACCAAGTGCTGCCAAAGAATCACCATGGGGCTTAGCATAGAGCTCACATCAATGCTATCTTACTGTCAGTTGTGCTGTGTTATTATCTGTGCACTTTTCTCCTCAAGCCACAGCTGCAGTAACTTTACTGCTGACACTGAACTAGGATTTTCATGAAGCTACACACACTTATTTCTGGCCATGTTTTTCTTTTTTTTTTCTTTTTTTTTCTTTTTTTTTTTTTGGTCTTAGTGAGCAGTGTTGAGATGCTCACTCACTGACTAGTGAGTAAATCCACTCAGTGTGTTGCCATCAGCTGGCAGATGCACATAGGTGTGCAGGAACTCTGGGAGGGATCGCAGCCATGTCTCTGTCCTGCAATCAGCGGGAGAAGCCTCACTGCATTCACAGTGACTTTTTGCAGGCTCTCACTGCCACAGCTGCAGTGTTTTTTTATGTTTAAGGGTGCTGTGAACATTGTCATGCAAATACCTGACTTTCCATACAATTAGTGTGCAAAAACCAACCAAAGCCCAGCTGAAGCACCTCCAGAAGGTGATGTGAAACTCCTCTAATGGCAGCACTGCAGGGCTGGAAGCCGCCAGCCTTTGCCCACATGTTGGTGATACTGGTGGAAAGCAGCAGACTGGCACTGGTAGCATTGAGTAGCTCTGCCTTCCTTGAGCGTGATCCAGCTACAGCACAGCCTGTGTTGATTCCCCCTAGGAAACAGGGATCTCCCTGAGGAAGACTTTCCAAAAGAAGCTCAGTTTCTGCAGCCAGATACTACACAAAGCTTGGCAGCTTGCAGCACAAAGCCTTTGAAAGCTTTTATTTTCCCACTCTCTGCCCTGCTGCCACATGCACTTCATACTTAGGACCCCAGAGAGGAATCGGGGAAGGAAAACAGTTTGACTAGGAAATCTTTCCAACGTCAACATCCTCCATCCTGGGGCCTTGCTTTCCGGGAAAAGATATGCTTTGTGTGCACATGTTTGTGTGGACTGAGTTTAAAGGCAAAGACCCCTCTTGTGGGTTTAAAAAAAAAAAAAAAAGTTAAAGTGCATTCTGCAGACTAAACAGATAAAGATCCCTCAGTGCTCTAAGGATGTATTTAGCAACAGTTCCTGCTTCCATCACCAGTGTAAAGACTGTTCAAAGATGAGGACATTTCAATGTACAAGGAAGCCCTGAAGCCACTGGATCCTGTTCTGTACCAGGATCTGTCTCCATCAACACTGTGGACAGCTGCTTCAGACCACAGGAAAGCTGTGGTCCATGATTTAAGGAAATTTGGGCTATTCAAACTCCAAGGACCTGGGCTAGGACACCCATGGCTACTGTTTTTGTGGCCTCACCTTTAATTTCTACTGGAGCAGCAGAAAGTTAGCTTAATCAGCTGCTGTGATTTCTCACGTAGCCAGTCCTGCTAGGACAGTAATAGGAAATTGAACCAGTGCCTCAAGGCTGAGAGTCAAACCAGTAGCAGTTGGTCCCAAAGAGCAATCAAGCAGGATTTGCACAGCAGTGGTTAGGAATTCCACAGCATTATTGTCTCCACTATGCCTCATCTCTTCTCAATGCCAAGGCTGTAGAAGAGTAACTCTTGAAGCCAAGTTACCAAACCTATTAACCTACCTAACCCTTACAGACACAGATCCTTTCTCAGAACAGAGTCCATATGAAAGGGACATTTCTGACTGCCATGTTGAAGTATTGCTACCTCTACAAGAATATTATTGATTCTGAAAGGCAGGATGGCATGGGCATTTTGAAAGTACACATCACCAAGAAGCAGTTTACTTCACAAGACTGAGATGCGTACTCTTATGAAGGAAGCTTTGTCCATGACTAAAAATAAACCTGTGCGGTGTTTCTCTATTTGAACTTCCTGTAGATCTTTAAAGAATACAGAAACCCAAGCAAGTCATTCCCTTTGAAGGAAACATTTGAGATCATTAGCAACTTGCCTGCTGGGAGGATCTCAGATCCAGATGTCTTTGTGGTAAATTTGCACAGAGCATTTGGTATCTTATTTATCCCCTCATTTACAATCCATGTGCAACTCATAAAGTCAGCATTGCACTAAGAGAGGCATGACTAGCAGTAGCTCTGCTTATAATAGACAGGCATTGGATTAGAAAGAGATTTCATTGTTAAGCAAAAAGTTAACTTCCAGAGTTCTTAATTTAAAACATCTGAAAACTTAACATTCTCTTTTGGTCACATGGTAGCTCCTGAACGTTTTCTGGACAAACTATCTTACCCACAGTAAATGGATACATGTTTGGCCTGCTTCTTTATGTATGTAAGTGAAGAATTATGTTGTTTTTATTAATCATCCCAGAATTAGTTCAGCATCCCACATGACAAGTTTTTGTTCCATTGCTGCTGCTCACTTCCTAAAACCAGAGCACTTGTGTCACGCTCTCTGGCACTCCCCACACACTTTGGCAGTTTCAGATGACTCGGATGTCTTCAGTTGCTTTCATCTTGGATAACTTCCTGGCTTCCTTCAGCATTTGTCGTATCTGCATCCTACATAGGTATCAGCATGTTTGTTTGTTGTTTTTTATTTCTAGGACAAATTAAGATCTCTTTGTTTATATGCCATAAATCCAAACAGACTGTAAACAGAGAGAGAGGAACTGTCGACACCATGCTTGCTACAGTAGATTCCCATTCTCAGGATTTCTGTATTACATCTTCAAATAGCACTTGTGTTTGTGGCCACTGTGGTCTTGAGCAGTCCATCAAAGGAAAGTAATTTGCACCTCAGCCTTCAGAGATTTTGGCTTACAAGATGGATGCAGGTTACACAGGTTCCAATGTACTCCAACAAGCCATGTAGAAGAACTGCTATTAAAACATGTAAAATAAATAATCTTTTTGGTGCCAAAAATGCCTCTGCTGGAGAGGCATTATTCAACCAGTTCCAGGCACCAGACTTCAAGAAATATGTAGAAGAATTGGACAGAAACAAAAATCTGAGGCTGTAGAAAACATGAACTTTCAGGAAGGGTTGAAGTTGATCACTTCTTCTAGAAAAAACAAACAAAAAACACCTAAGGAGAGATATTAAAAGCCTTGAAGGGCAAGAGAGATGCAAAAATAGAGAAAATAAATTACTTGTGTTCCTTGGAGATAAGACAACAGTAATGTATTTTGATTGCACCAAGAAAGACTGAGGGCTGGTGCTAGAGACAACCTACTCTAGTGATAAAGGCAATAAACAGTGGATGAGGTTGCCTAAAGGGTTGAGGAATATCCATCACTCTTGGTTTCTAAGAATAAATGTGACAGAAGCATGCTAGGAATCATTCTAGTATAGCTGGACCTGCCTTTGAGCAAGGACTGTGGACAAGTTTATTCCTCAGGGTACATCCAGAGCTGTTTATTTAATATTTGGTGATATTGTGCCTTTTGTGTTAGGAGGAGTAAATACATCAAGAAAAGAAGAGTGGAAAAAAGGCCTTTGACTTTGCAAGGTTTGGAGAGAATGAGTGTGCCTTGGTCTTCAAAAGTTGCCTGTTCTGATTTGGTTTTGCATAAGGTTAATGTAAATGATTGTTTTATAGGCAGTATTAGGAAGCCTGTTGACTTAAGGTTACTTAAGGGAGATAATCTGGGTGGGAACTGGAGTCATTTCAGATGCCTCATCAAGTTTCTCATACCTGCCACAGTCATCAACCTCATCAGAGGAAGTGCGTATATTACCTGACTGAGAGAAGGTTTATGCTATAAAATGTTCATAATTCTTTTTGAGGAGATTCAAAGATTGAAGTTAAAACAAACAAACAAAACCATGCACACAAAATCTCAGCTCCAGGAAACTGAAGTGAAGCTGAAGTACCACTTAGAGAAAGGGAGAATTAAGAAGGCTATAAATGTTTATGCTAAAAGATATTAGAGAGTTGTGGTCCCAATTTAGGTTGTGGAGTCTCAATTTATTATGCTGCATGCTATGCAGAAGGATTTCAGACTGGCAGGGCTTGTGAGGAGGTTGCTGGGCTATCACCCACCTTCCCATGGAAGAAACAAGACTGTCTTGCAATGCCAAGAGGACCATCTCAGGATTCCAGACAATTTCCTTCCCTCCTTAAAATCATCCAGTACTTTTTATATAAACCTCCTAAATCTTCTTCACTTGTACTTCAGTAAAACCCAATATTATATTCATCATCCTAAAATGCCTTCCCCAGTAGTAGCTCATTAAAAGATTTTCCAAATTTTGATTTCACTGGCACACAGGACTTAATGAACTGCTGAGATTCAAAGCAAAATTCAGATGATGGGAAAATTGAGGTCTAAAACAGCAAAGACATAAGATGACATATTTCTAAGGGCTTCACAGCCTTTATTTCTTTGAATGTTCTCATCCGTGCTAGTATACTGGGAACAATGACACTAAATATAGCAAGTGCATATCAGTGTAATCCCACAGTGACAGCATAATCAGTCCTGAAAATGCTCTCATCAATTGTCATTTAGATGCTACCTTTCTTGAAAGCCTCTAGCAATAATTGAGAAAAAAAAAAAAAAACCTCTAAATAAAGGCACTTTGTGGTTCTACTCACTGCAGAATGCCATTTTATGAAAAGGGAATATCTATGTGTTTTCACTTAGTAAGCAGATGTGCTTTCCAAATGCATACAGTGAAGCCAAAGTACTTAAAACAATAAAACATTTCCAAGACAAATACTGTCAGTTTTGAGATAATATATGAGTAGAAGGAAAAATGTCATTTGATAGGCTGCAGGTACACCAGAGATAAGGAAGAAAGATCTGCTTGAATGGTGTACAGGCTGGTGTAACAGCCAAGGTTTTTAAGCCATGGGAAGTGCATTTGTAATAGTAATTAATGTTTCCTTTTTCAATATACTCAAATTCACCCAAAACAAAACAAACAGACAAAAACCTTGAAGATACCCACCCATATTTCGTTGTAAACTTTAAACTCAGATCTGATTAGTTGGGATGCCTTGTACTTCGAATAATTTCAGCTTAGGAAACTTTTCATCAGGTTGTAGGGACCACTGAAACCTCTCTCAAATTACACGCACTTTAGCAATACTATCTATTTCCAGCTGAAAAGTTGAACAGATCTGGGTTTCCTGTAAGTATAGTTTCAAGTTCTTGGTGTTTTTTTTTTCTTGAAACAGAAAACTAGGTTTTGAGTTCATGCAGTACAAAGCATATCTAATGCACAACCTAAATCTGCCAAGTTGGCATAACAAAAAAAAAAAAAAAAAGGAAAAAAATAATAGAGAGTGACTCTATAGCTGAACGACAGCAGTAGGGCAAGATGAATGAAGAAAAGTGAATGCTATGTGTTTGTATTGTATGGAATAATTTATGGGGCATGAATGCCTTTGAATGCTCTTGCCATTGATATATGAATGCTTTTGATCGAGGAAAACACCCTCGGCGAAGAATAAAAAACAAGATTTCAGTACTCTAGAATTGCATATGAAAAACCCATGCTGCATAACAATAAAAGTCACAGATTCTTATAAATGAGTACAATTAGTCATAGTTATATAAATATAGGTACACATTCTCTTTGTATCTACATATCAAATACATTAAAAGGGAAAAAAAAAGAAAAAACTTCTTTTCAGAGTAAGGCATAATGTACAGAACAAAATTACAGCACAAATAGGAAACACTTTCTTTCATGGGAGGAAGCCTGAATGCTGTTGCAATAAAGGATACCAGGGCTGTCAGCATGCACTGCATTGGAGCAAGAGCTCACCACAGAGCATATTGCTCCTTCCTGGCCATCAGTGAGGGTGGTAACACCAATGCCATGTTCTCCAGCAACAGGTCCTTTTATCTACAAGGACAGATGGTAATGCCCACTAACTATTGGAGTCAAAACACTGTAATTTATTTTTTTAAAACTGCATTTAGCCCAGGGAAGCAATTCCAACAGCCTGCTGCATAGTTCATATGCCAGGCTGCCTCACTCAGATGTTTCAACTCTGAACAGAGAATATTCAGGTGAATGGGAAAATTAGAAATGGTATTTAAAATACAAGGGACTTCCAGATCCCCTGTTTATTTTGCTAGTTATCTCTCAGGTGACCTGGAGTCCCCTGAACTTGTCCCTGAGCTACATAGCTATATTCTTGAACATAAGCTGGCCTAGCTCTTCACAACTCTTCATTCCCTTAATTCTTATGTGAATGTTAAAATATAAAAGCTAAACAATGCAGTTACTAGACACACCATTCATCCTCAGATGGTGTTTAGTGGACAATTTTAGCATCTCACCTGGCCTTAGATTAACAAACACTCCTGAGAACTAATCTTAGCATTTCATTTGTAGCTTCATGCACTGCAATTTAGAAAAAATATCCTTGTTACAACGCATTTGTTTTCCTTGCAAATTCGAAGCTGCTCCCTAATTGTCCTAGAATGGATTATATCATGTCAGTAACTGATCCTTACATTTGGAGACCTGATATAACTCAAAGGCTGAAAAACAGCAGATGTAGATATGCAGCATAATAATTCCTATTGCATTTGATGACTCATTTTTGAAGTCTGATCGGGCATGGAATCTCCTACAGGCAACCTTCCATCTCAAGCCACAGGCCCATTCATAAACCTTTCCAGTCACTAAAAGGAAGGAGGGATCTTTCATGCTTTCTGTAAGGAGACATGGGAAGGAGTGGCTCTGCCTCTTGTCATTGTCCAAGATGTGTCAGGGTCTGATGTGCCACATGTACACCAATATTTACAAGGTGACCACCATGAGGAACTCCCATAATCTAGCAAAGCCATCCCAGCACATACATGGTGCTATAGCTGATTTCCCAGCTGACATTAAGAACAGAAGTTAGGTTCTCTTAAAACGTATGG